CACGCCGCAATCCCTTCTCCTCCATTCTCTTCTCGGGATCTTGGGCATGCACGCACACATGCCCGATGGGAGTTTGAGCCACCGGATCTGGGACTTGAACCGCAGTCGACTACGTGGGAGTCCAACGACATAGCCATTACGCTAACTGCTGGTCCCCTAAATTTCCTTCTTGTCAGTACACACATACTTACAGTGCAGTACATTTCTTTTCAGGAAAGAAAGAAAAATTTCATCCTAATTCCTAAACCTCTTCAATTTTGTGACTTCAATCAGCCCAGTCCCTGGGCCAGCAGGTGGCGTGGTGGTTATGGGGCTGGATTCCCACATGGCCTACCACAGTTTGAGTCCCAGACCTGGCAGTTTGCTTTCTCACTTTCTCTCTCTCTCTGATCAAATTTTTTAAAATAAAAATAATAAATAAAATTAAATAAATAATTATTTTTTTAAAAAATCAGCTTAATCAAATTCTTTAAGAAGTTGCCGTTGGGCTATGAGACCAGCAGATGGTGTTTTGGTTACATTGCTGGGGTCCCACATAGTCAACCACTGTTCAAGTCCCGGATCCAGTGATTTAAAACTCACTCCGGGCACGTGTGCGTGTGTGCCCTAGATCCTGAGAGGAGAATGGAGGAGAAGAGATTGTGGTGTGGCCATCTCCCCTGGGGGTGGGGGGGGCCGCGATTTCAGCTTTCTGTCTTTCTGTCTCTCCAGCAAGTACACCTGCCTTATAGCAAAAAATCTCTCTTTAAAAAAAGAAAAAAGAAAAAAACAGAGAAGTTGCTGGGCTAGGTGGTGCATGGAGGTTAAGGCAGTTAGTTCTCATATGGCAGACTGTGTGGTTCGAATCCCAGACCCAGCAGCTTGAAACTCATGTGCATGTGTGCCCACACTCCCGACAGGAGAATGGAGAAGGGATTGCAGCGTAGCCATCCCCGCTAGGGGTGATTTCTCACTTCTCCGTCTCTCTGTCTCTGTCTCTCTCAGTGAGTACAATTACCCTATGACAAAACTAAACAAGAAAACAGAAGCTGTTAAAAGGGGTATGAACTCATCTGTTCCCTATGCACAGGCCCTACAAATAAATACTAAGTGAGGCAGTGTGAGAGTTACAGAGACAATCGCTTCTAAAATCAATAATAAGTGGATACGGTTTTTGCCTTCCAGCCTCACCCAGTGATAAAAATGCCACGGCAGGTACGTCATCTCTTGCATGTCTCTCTCACGCTCCCCTGTCCCCACCCCAGTGTGGGTTCCTACCTCTCAGTTTCTTACAAAGTACTTGGTGCATCTTCTAGTTTATTTCCAGTTCTTTCTCGAGACTGTATTTAGTGACCCTCACTACACGCACGCACACACACACACACACACACACACACACACGCTTATTTTTAAATGAGCTCCAGTCTCAAAAGTCGGGTCGGGAAGAGAGACCCAATGCTGCACTGTCCGACACAGCCTTCTCCCTGAACCACCTTCCGGCTTCACTGGCTCGTTAACGGATCGGGAAGTGAAATCTATTTGACTGCAAGGCTTTCACGCCACCACCAACGTCATGGTGAAAATTGCTTCCCTGATAACCCTGATGTGCGTGGGTCGATATCTGCGGGGACAGAAAAACAGGGAATTCTCATTCTTCGGAATGGGATCATCGGCTTTTCAGTTTGAGGTTTCCTATCGGATAATCCTAACAAGACTTTTCCTGGAAGCAGCCTCAGAGGTTCTTTCATCCACTTCTGCTGCCGGGGGCGGCTCACCTAGCTCTCACTTAGCCAATTTCCCCGCGCTCTGCTTCTGGTGAGCAAAGACAAACTCCAGTTTACAGTGATTCTCTGCTGAGCTTGCTCTGTGTGTGTGTGTGTGTGTGTGTGTGTGTGTGTGACTCAATCTCCCCACCCCAGCCCTTTAATCCTTCACTTACGCTGCTTCTATTTGAATTTCCGTTATTTCTGCTGGCTTCTCCAGAGTGCCGGGATGAGAAATTCGCTTGCACGAGACTCTACTCTGTGCATCGGCCAGTCAGGCAATGCATTCATCAGCTGTGCTTCACCAGGTGAGGAGTCTCAGCACGCTCCGGGAGCCTCTTCCATGGCAGTGCTTGCTTTTTGTTAAAAAAGAGATTTTTGTTATAGGGCACACGCGCTCGCCAGAGAGACAAAGAGACACATAAAGTGAGGAATCACACACACCCCCCCCCAAGGGTATGGCCAGGCCACAATCCTTTCTCCTATATTGTCCTTCAGGATTTGAGGCATGCATGCACACATGCCCAGCATGAGTTTCAATCCTCCGGGTCCAGGACTCGAACCGCAGTCAGCTATGTGGGACATAACCACTGTGCCATCTGATGGTCCCAATGTTTTTGCGTAACTATTTAATGAGCACCCACTGTGAAATTGTCATCGTTATGGGGCAGAAGTGTTTAGCGTGACTCTCCCAGCTCTTTTTGAAGATTTCACCTAGAACTTAGAGTCTGGGTTGAGGTGTATAGAAAAAAAGCCGACAAAAAAGCTGTTAGAAGGGAAGACAAGTTGGGATCTGGATGAAAAAGGGTCATGAGAGAAACACCGATCGAACAACTGTGAGGGTAGAAAATCGCGGAAGAGAGCGTTAAGCCTGACTCCGGGTGGCGTGTGCAGGGTCACTAGGAAGAGTAATTAATGGGGCCAGCAGGTGGCGTAGTAGTTCAAGTGCTGGGCTCCCACATGGACAACGGCTGTTTGAGTCTTGGACCCAGCAGCTTGAAATTCACGCCGGGCATGTGTGCGTGTGTGCCCAAAATCCTGAAGAGAAGGGAGGGGAAGGGATCATGGTGTGGCCATCCCCCCTGGGGAGTGACTTCTCACGTTCCCTTTTGCTGCCTGTCTGTCTCTCTCTGGTGAGCATACATGCTTTATGTCTTTAAAAGGAAAAAAGAAGTGGGACCAGCAGGTGGCGTGGTGGTTATGATGCTGGGCACTCCCACATGGCTGACCACAGTTCGAGCCCTGGACCTGGTGGCTCGTTTTCTCACTTTCTCTCTCTCTCTCTCCCTCTCCCTCTCTCTTTCTCTCTCTCGCCAAAATAAAATAAACAAATGAATAAATAAAATTAAGTAAATAATTAAAAAAGAGAAAGAAAAGTAATTAATACCATTCCATCATCCCCTACATTTCGCTGGCCAGCAAAGAGAAGTCTGAAAAGCTTAACAATCCAGACAGGGGAGAGTGGGGAACCCTTGAGCTGCAGAGGTGTCCTACACGGAGGCTGGTTCTCCCTCTCAAGGCTGTTTTCTGTTTCCTTCCCTGACCGTGACCTCGGGACTGTGGCAGTTTACGACGGATGTACATTGTCAACAAAGAGGTCTGCTCCCGGCTCGTCTGTAAGGAGCATGAAGTAATGAAAGGTAAGGAGATGGTAGGGTTAGTCGGGAGGGACCATTGCGGGAGATGTCCAAAGTCCGGTTTTGAAAGAGGCTGTAGGCTACTCCCTTCGCTTCCGGCAGCCCCCACTGGAATGTACCCCAAACAAGCCATCTCACTAAAGCAGTGCGCTTGCTTACAACACAGCCCTAAGAAAAACACCCCTAGATTCCTTTCTCTTTATTTTTTTTTATTTTTAATTTTTATTTATTTTTGGAGAGATTTTCGCTATAAGGCGCGTGCGCTCGCCAGACAGACAGAGAGAGACATAGAGACAGAAAGCGAGAAATCACCCCCCAGGGGGGATGGTCACGCCGCAATCCCTTCTCCTCCATTCTCCTTTCGGGATCTTGGGCACGCACGCACACGCGCCCGGCGTGAGTTCTAAGCCATCGGGTCCGGGACACGAACCGCAGTCGACTACGTGGGAGTCCAGCGACATAGCCATTACGCTAACTGCTGGTTCCCTCTTCTTTTTTTTTTTTTTTTTTTAACCATTATTTTGTAGTTCTATTGATTTAAAAAAAAAACAACAACAACAACAACTTTCTGCCCTAATTGTGACAAGGAAACGGGAGTCGCAAGGGCAGATCACAAACTGGAATCAACACACACACTCCCTGGGTCACACCAAGCCTTTCCTTGTATTTGTTCGAAGAGTCTGATGTACATGAGTCAGATACGAGCGCTGCCATTCGTGTTTTCTTAGAGGGGGAAAGCACTTCTCTGGTAGCCCCTTCAGAACCCCAGAAGTGTCAGACACGAGGAGGAACAGAGTTGTCCCCGACTTGGAGGGCGTGTGTTGGAGACGCCTTGGTGGAGAGCGCCCTCTTGTGCTCAGCGAGCTGCCCGTCGGGCTCGCCAGCCCTGAGTCCCGGCCTGGGGAGAGAGGAGTGATGGCGTTCCTGCAGTCTCTGCTGGTCACATCCTCTGTCCTGATGACCCTTCTTCTTGGTCACACGTGACAGCACGGGCCTCTGGGACTGCCACAGGGTCCGGTGATGGCACAGATGCCACTGCCAGACAGCACTCCTAGATTCCTTTCTAACTAGACTGCAATCCGCAACTTCTCCTTTATAGAGAACCTTCTGAAATCTTGGCTGGTTTTTCTTTGTTTTTAGTTTTTGCTATAGGGTGTGTACACCTTCTTCTTGGTCACACGTGACAGCACGGGCCTCTGGGACTGCCACAGGGTCCGGTGATGGCACAGATGCCACTGCCAGACAGCACTCCTAGATTCCTTTCTAACTAGACTGCAATCCGCAACTTCTCCTTTATAGAGAACCTTCTGAAATCTTGGCTGGTTTTTCTTTGTTTTTAGTTTTTGCTATAGGGTGTGTACACATTTGCCAGGTGGAGATGGCCACATCATAATCCCTTTTTCTCCTGTCTCCTCTCGAGATTTTGGGAATGAATGCACTCATGCCCTGAGTGATTTTCAAACTGCTGGGCCCAAGACTCAAACTGCACAGCCAGCCATGTGGGATCCAGCACCTCAACCTCCATGCCACCTACAGTCCCAGTCTTGGCTGTTTTAAAGATCATTAACTGAGAGACCAGCAGTTAGCGTAATGGCTGTGTCACTGGACTCCCATGTAAGCGACCACAGTTCGAGTCCGGGGCCCCGTGGAAAATATTTACTAAGATAAGATTATATCTAGTTCTTTTGGAAATTGTTAGTGGAAATATTCTACTCTGCATTAGTGCAGATTTCAACCTATTTCAAATCCTTTTTAAGGATTTTTAAGAATTCTGTATACTTCTAATGTTTAATGTGAACATTGAATATGCCAGGCAAATTTAAAAAAAAAAAAAAAAACAAAACACATTAACTGAGATTCGAGGAAAAAGCCAAGTCAGCCATTATAGAACATAGACTAGTCAGCTGCCATGTTCATGATTCTAAATAAAGGAAACACGCATGCACGTGAAATTGGAGACAAGAAGGTTTGCATAAGGTCTATCAATAAAAAATAGGGCGTTTAGAAATCGGCTACATGAGAAACAATTCACCAATTTCGGGAACCGTCCACCTGCATTGTGAAATCGCAGGGGTAGAGGAGAGCAGAAAAACATCAGGGTAATCGCAGGGGGCCGAATCGCGTTTGTAGATCATGCATGGTGGGAACAAAGGTACTTCTCGCCTGCCCCAGGGCCAGCCCCACACGATGGCTGTGGTTGGCGAAGACACCACACACACAGCCACTTCTGACTCAGGGGCCTGCCTGGCGCCGAGGTCCTGAGTAAAAGCTGTAGTGAACTTCGCAGAAGGAAACTTGTCCCTTGCCGCACTGGCTCTGCGCAAGCCACCTGCAAGGGAAGCCCCTTGAGCTTGAGGATAAGCATGTGGGACCCGAGACACTTGCGGGTCTCTCAGGGGACCGACTAAAGTTAGCCGTGTGCACGCAGTAAACACCTGAGCCTGCACGAACGGGTGGACCTCGTTTTTCTACCGAATAGACTCGTGACTAGAAGAAGGGGGACCAGGCATATAAAGGAAACTAACATTGCTGACCACCTCGGCTGGTACTTCGCTTACATTATTACATTTTAGTACACACAACTACACTGTCGAAGTAGATCTTTTCATGCTTATTGTCCGAAAAGGGGTGACGAGTTTCGTACAAGTTAAGAAACTTTCTAGTAAATCGTAAATAGCTAGTAAGTAGCAGAGTGGGGCTTTTAACCTGGATTTTTTTCCCCCTTATTTATCGTTTTATTTTTTTTTTTAAGATTTTGGCCACAGGGCGTGTGTATTTCCCAGAAAGAGATAGCGAGAGGGAAAGTGAGAAATCTCTCCCCAGGTGGCCACACCACAATCCCTTCTCCATTGGCCTCCCGGGATTGGGCACATACCATATGTACCCAGCATGTTTTTCAAGCCACCAGGTCCAGGACTTGAATCATAGCAGGCCATGTGGGAATCTATTGCTTTAACCAACACATCACCTGCTGGCCCCAGATCTTTTTCCCTTTGATCTTTTTTTTTTTAATTTGCTATAGAGTGCGCGTGTACTCCCCACAGAGAGGGAAAATGAGAAGGCGTCCCCCAGAGTGGGTGAGCACAGCACAGTCCCTTCTTCTCCATTCTCCTCTCAGAATTTTGGGCAGGCATGCACTTGCACCTGTTTTTTTGTTTTGTTTTTGTTTTTGTTTTTGTTTTTGAGAGGTTTTTGCTCTAGGTCGCGTGCACTCGCCAGACAAACAGAGACAGAGAGACAGAAAGTGAGAAATCACCCCCCAGGAGGGATGGCCACGCTGCAATCCCTTCTCCTCCATTCTCCTCTCGGGATTTTGGCACACACACATATGCGCCCGGCATGAGTTTAAGCCGATGGGTCCGGGACTTGAACCACCGTCAGCTACATGGGAGTCCAGTGACATAGCCATTATGCCAACTGCTGGTCCCACACCTGGTGTGTTTTTCAAGCCACTGGGTTTGCAGACTTCAGTCCTACAGTGAGCACGAGGGATCCTGCCTTAACCACAATGACACTGGTTGGCCCCTCTGTAACCTTTCACCCTTGCACTATACCACAA